AGTATTGGGCAGCGCCACTCATCCTGTGAGTGGACACACCGCCATAGTGACAGTATTGGGCAGCGTCACTCATCTGTGAGTGGACACACCGCCATAGTGACAGTATTGGGCAGCGCCACTCATCCTGTGAGTGGACACACCGCCATAGTGACAGTATTGGGCACCACCACTCATCCCGTGAGTGGACACACCGCCATAGTGACAGTATTGGGCAGCGCCACTCATCTTGTGAGTGGACACACCGCCATAGTGACAGTATTGTGCAGCGTCACTCATCCTGTGAGTGGACACACCGCCATAGTGACAGTATTGGGCAGCGCCACTCATCCTGTGAGTGGACACACCGCCATAGTGACAGTATTGGGCAGCGTCACTCATCTTGTGAGTGGACACACCGCCATAGTGACAGTATTGGGCAGCGCCACTCATCCTGTGAGTGGACACACCGCCATAGTGACAGTATTGGGCAGCGCCACTCATCCTGTGAGTGGACACACCGCCATAGTGACAGTATTGGGCAGCGCCACTCATCTTGTGAGTGGACACACCGCCATAGTGACAGTATTGGGCAGCGTCACTCATCTTGTGAGTGGACACACCGCCATAGCAGCATGCACAACACTCCCCAATAGGAAGAAAACCCGCTGGGTTGTTCATCCTGTCACTTGTACCCAGACATGATCTTCATGAAGCGTGCAGCCCTCCGACCCTTCTCGCTTAACATATTACAAATGACCAGAAAAACACGAGTAAAAACTAACATGTTTATCAACAAAGCGCAACGTTGCGGCGCCAACAATGCAACAACAAACTTCTTGAAAGCAGGAGAGGCAATAGTTAAGGAGGCAACCTGCATGCAAGCTGACCATGTCTGCACGCAACCCATCAGGCCAAGAGGGCGTCTGTGGGGAGGTCTGTGGGGGGGGGGGGGAGGAGGGTCTGTGTGGGGGGGTCTGTGTGGGTGGGTCTGTGTGGGGGGGTCTGTGTGGGGGGGTCTGTGTGTGGGGGGGGGTCTGTGTGGGTGGGTCTGTGTGGGAGGGTCTGTGTGGGGAGGGGGGTCTGTGTGGGGGAGGGGGTTCTGTGTGGGGGAGGGGGGTCTGTCTGGGGGGTCTGTGTGGGGGAGGGGTTCTGTGTGGGGGAGGGGGTTCTGTGTGGGGGAGGGGGTTCTGTGTGGGGGAGGGGGGTCTGTGTGGGGGAGGGGGGTCTGTGTGGGGGAGAGGGGTCTGTGTGGGGGAGGGGGGGTCTGTGTGGGGGAGAGGGGTCTGTGTGGGGGAGGGGGGTCTGTGTGGGGGAGAGGGGTCTGTGTGGGGGAGGGGGGTCTGTGGTGGGGGAGGGGGGTCTGTGTGGGGGTGTGGGTCTGTGTCGGGGGGTCTGTGTGGTGGGGGTGTGGGGGGTCTGTGTGGTGGGGGTGTGGGGGGTCTGTGTGGTGGGGGTGTGGGGGGTCTGTAGGCGTCTGTGGGGGTCTGTAGGCGTCTGTGGGCAGTCTGTGGGGGGTTTGTGGGCGTCTGTGGCCAGCTGTGGGCGTCTGTGGGGGGTTTGTGGACGTCTGTGGGGGGTCTGTGGACGTCTGATGGCGTCTGTGGACGTCTGATGGCGTCTGTGGCCCGCTGTGGCCGCACACATACACGGCCAGTACCGTGAGACATATCATCTGTGCCCCTAAGTGTCGTGAAGAAAAACCTCGCTGCAGTTCTCACGTGCAGAGGGAACTCCCAAGAGTCCCCCCCCCCCTCCCTCCCCCCCCCCTCTTATCATCACTAAACTTGTGCTCTGGATTTTACCTGCAGCTGATCTCTAGTGGGCTTCGTGAGGTCTCCTACTCCACAAGCACAGCCTGGAGTAAGTTTCTCTGGTCATGACTTGGTCAGTCAGGCTTGCAGCTGTCCACTTACCCACGACAACCTGCCACACTTTCTGAGGAAACTTGTCAAAAAGAGCCCACGGCTAGAGAGCCCACGGCTAGAGAGCCCACGGCTGCTAAAGAGCCCACGGCTGCTAAAGAGCCCACGGCTGCTAAAGAGCCCACGGCTGCTAAAGAGCCCACGGCTGCTAAAGAGCCCACGGCTGCTAGAGAGCCCACGGCTGCTAGAGAGCCCACGGCTGCTAGAGAGCCCACGGCTGCTAGAGAGCCCACGGCTGCTAGAGAGCCCACGGCTGCTAGAGAGCCCACGGCTGCTAGAGAGCCCACGGCTGCTAGAGAGCCCACGGCTGCTAGAGAGCCCACGGCTGCTAGAGAGCCCACGGCTGCTAGAGAGCCCACGGCTGCTAGAGAGCCCACGGCTGCTAGAGAGCCCACGGCTGCTAGAGAGCCCACGGCTGCTAGAGAGCCCACGGCTGCTAGAGAGCCCACGGCTGCTAGAGAGCCCACGGCTGCTAGAGAGCCCACGGCTGCTAGAGAGCCCACGGCTGCTAGAGAGCCCACGGCTGCTAGAGAGCCCACGGCTGCTAGAGAGCCCACGGCTGCTAGAGAGCCCACGGCTGCTAAAGAGCCCACGGCTGCTAAAGAGCCCACGGCTGCTAAAGAGCCCACGGCTGCTAAAGAGCCCACGGCTGCTAAAGAGCCCACGGCTGCTAAAGAGCCCACGGCTGCTAAAGAGCCCAGGGCTAAAGAGCCCAGGGCTAAAGAGCCCAGGGCTAAAGAGCCCACGGCTAAAGAGCCCAGGGCTAAAGAGCCGTGATCTGAAATGTGTTCCAATCGTGCCGTGCAATCTGTACTTGACTCTTGGGTCTAGGTATTAATCGCTCCGTCGACTCTACCAACTATTAAGTTAAGATGAAGAGCGGCGCCAAATGCAACAAAAACATTAGACTACATTAGTCTAAGCAACAACAAACTACACCCTAGACTAACTCAATTTAGTGGGGCCGGGTTCGACCCCAATTACACGCTCACACCAACAGAGCCAGCCCCACACACACACACACACACACACACCCACACACACACACACACACACACACACACACACACAAGACGCTCGCAACCTTGGTCCCTCTAAAACACACACACACACACACACACACACACACACACACACACACACACACACACACACACACACACACACAACACACACACACACACACACCCATCCCGCTGGCGCCAGAAAATACATGTTTTATTTTATCACGTCAACTCGAGTAGTGTTGCATGTGCACGCACTGCACCGATCACTCACATTTATGTATCATGGCCCCGATGGCCGCGGGTCAGACGCTATCCCCACCAGGTGCTTCTCCGCCTCTCATTAGCATACACTAATTAGTTATTCAGAGCTTCAGAAATATTGCTGAGGAAATATAGAATAATCACCTAGGTACACTACCATCTTCTTGAGAGGTTATCTTGAGATGATTTCGGGGCTTAGTGTCCCCACGGCCCGGTCCTCGACCAGGGCTCCACCCCCTAGGAAGCAGCCCGTAGCAGCTATCTAACTCCCAGGTACCTATTTACTGCTAGGTAACAGGGGCATCAGGGTGAAAGAAACATTTTGCCCATTTGTCTCTGCCTCCACCAGGGATCGAACCCGGAACCTCAGGACTACGATTCCGAAGCGCTGTCCACCCAGCTGTCAAGCTCATTTACAGAGTTCGTTCCTTGTTTGAGAGAGAGAACGAGGAATATTACTAACGTAACTGAAGAACCGCAGCTTCAAACAGCAGAACGGAGAGCAGCTGCAGACAGTAGAACAGACAGCAACGGCAGACAGTAGTACAAGCAACGGTATGCAGGAAACAGCAGACAGTCGTACAGACAGCACCATTAACAGACAGCACCAGAAATAGACACCACCAGAAATAGACACCACCAGTAATGGCTGTAGCAATGTTACATTTATAATATAATTATTGTGATCATGCTGGTAATTAATTACACACACACACACACACACACACACACACACGTACGTTCGTGAGAGTAGTAGAAAAAATGGAATGCACTTGGGAAACAGGTTGTGGAAGCAAATACTATTCATACTTTTAAAACTAGGTATGATAGGGAAATGGGACAGGAGTCATTGCTGTAAACAACCGATAGCTAGAAAGGCGGGATCCAAGAGTCAATGCTCGATCCTGCAAGCACATATAGGTGAGTACACACACACACAATCTCTCGTTAAAGATATTCCTTGTTTGCTCTGCAGACTTGACCCTCCGACCTGCCAGCCACTGACTGTTTTATCTCCAAACACCGCCCAACAATCCCCCCGTTCCATGGACTCTCTTCCACCTTAGTGTCCCCCCTTGTTTACCTACTCACTCCCACTTAAATACGACACCGATAATTCGAGTCAGGCCAATTAGGTATGATTTGAAAATGTATTATAGCCTAAATACTGCGGAAATGCCGTCTAAAACTGCGTCATCGTCGTCTAAAACTGCGTCATTGACGTCTAAAACGGCGTCATTTGCCGTCTAAAACGGCGTCATTGCCGTCTAAAACGGCGTCATTGCCGTCTAAAACGGCGTCATTGCCGTCTAAAACCGCGTCATTGCCGTCTAAAACGGCGTCACTGCCATCTAAAACGGCGTCACTGCCATCTAAAACGGCGTCATTGCCGTTTAAAACTGCGTCACTGCCGTTTAAAACAGCGCCATTGCAGTTTAAAACGGCGTCACTGCCATTTTAAAAGGTGCCAATAATTATGTGAGGAGTCTTATTACCATTTAAGCCTTTAGTACCACCACTTGCTTTCCTAAGTGCCTGTAAGCCATTAATCAATAACTGCTCGTTAGTAGTTATCAGTAAGTGTTTGTTAGAATTATCAGCGAGAACCTAATGCCGCCTAAAACTGAGTCATTGCCACCTCAAACTGAAATAGAGCTCTCGGCGCTCTCAACTCAGAGCTCTGAGGCGACTCGAACCCACGACCAAGGATTTCCCAGCAGCAAAATCTACCACTGTACCACCAAGACTGTGCAAATTATACGACCTGAAATTCTACTGAATCGACAGGAAGTCTGGAGGGCTCTACTGCGGTCAGTCCAAGTTTTACGTATAACCCAATGTGTAATAGTCAACAAAATCAAATCCGGTCCATCAACCGTGAAGAGCTCAGTCCCCCAGGGTACTGTGCTTGCTCCAGTACTTTTTCTCATCCTTATATCGGACATAGACAAGGATACAATCTATAGCACTGTATCATCCTTTGCAGATGGCACTAGGATTTTTATTAGAGTAGACAACATAGAGGACACAGCAAACCTCCAATCAGATATACATCAGATCTTTCTATGGGCTACAGAAAATAAAATGGTGTTTAACGAAGATAAGTTCCAGCTCATGCGCTACGGAAAAAAATGAAAATATAAAAACGGAAACAACGTACAAAACTCAAATCAATTATACCATAGAACGAAAATGCAATGTAAAGGACCTGGGTGTACTCATGTCGGAAGACCTTACCTTAAAAAACACAATAAAGTAGCCGTCACAACTGCAAGAAAAATGACAGGTTGGATAACAAGAACTTTTCACACTAGAGATGCTATACCGATGATGATACTTTTCAAGACGCTTGTGCTCTCTAGAGTGGAGTACTGCTGCACAATGACCGCCCCTTTCAAAGCTGGAGAAATTACTGACTAGGAGAGCGTGCAGAGATCCTTTACTGCTAGAATCCACTCAGTAAAACATCTAAACTATTGGGACCGACTAAAGAGCCTAAATCTGTATTCCCTTGAGCGCAGGCGGGAGAGATACATAATAATTTACACGTGGAAAATATTAGAGGGGCTGGTCCCAAACCTGCACACAGAAATAACACCACATGAGACCAAAAGACATGGCAGGATGAGCAGAATACCCCCGTTGAAGAGCAGAGGTGCAACAGGTACTATGAGAGAGAACTATCAACATCAGAGGCCCGAGACTGTTCAACACGCTTCCACTACACATAAGGGACATAACTGGCCGACCCCTCACAGTGTTCAAGAGAGAAGAGGAGGCCGAAGGGGGGGGGGAGAGGAGGCCCTGGGGGGAAGAAGGGGGAAAGAGGAGGCCCTGGGGGGAAGAAGGGGGAAAGAGGAGGCCCTGGAGGTAAGGAAGGGGGGGGGGGGGGGGGAGGAAGAGGAGGCCCTGGGGGAGGGGAAGCCTCTGGGAAACTGGCATTGGTTATGGAGATAATGGGGACGCATTGATTAATATGTACCTTTGTCATGAGGGAAGGCCAGGCTACGATGTGGAGGGTGGTGGTGGTGGTGGTGGGGCGCAGCAATGTGACGAGGAAGAGAGGAAAAGGAAATGTGGGGGGGGGAAGGGAGGGAGGGAGGAAAATGGAAGCGAGATGGAAAGGAAATGGAGGAGTGAAAGAGGAGGCAGAAAAAAAGGGGAAGGTTGGCGAACATGGGAAAATAAATTTGAGAGAGGCCTACCACATGCCATCAAGAGCGCCACTCTGCCTGTGCTGTGCCGTGCTGTGCTGTGCCGTGCCGTGCCGTGCTGTGCCGTGCTGTGCTGTGCCGTGCCGTGCCGTGCTGTGCCGTGCTGTGCTGTGCCGTGCCGTGCTGTGCTGTGCCGTGCTGTGCTGTGCCGTGCCGTGCCGTGCCGTGCCGTGCTGTGCTCCATAACAATTCATCAGCGGCCACTCCCTTCCTTGCAGGAGTCGCCTGTGAAGCTTCCTCCTACAGCTGCCAAGTACCTGGAGTTTACCTGGAGACGGTTCCTGGAGTTCTACTCCCCTAGCCCGGCCTGGATTCAGGCTGTCCCAGGTGATTGCTTGGTCTGTGACCCTGGGTTGTCTTTGTAGGCCCCAAGCCCACAAAGCCATCGCCGCCAGGCTGATCCGGTAACCACAGCAGAGACGTGTCCAGTTAAGGCTAAAAGCTCTCGCAAGCTGGTGGCTTGAGCATGACTGTGACAAGCCCATGACACCCCATATCGCACCCTTTTATTTTCTAGGGCCTCGCTCCATCTGTACACCAGTTGATTGACAGTTGAGAGGCGGGACCAAAGAGCCAATGCTCAACGCCCGCGAGCACAACTAGGTGAGTAGTAGCAACAACAGAAACAGTACCTTTTGCAGGACATTTACGGTAGTAGAGGGAAACTTTTGTGGGCCAGGAAGCAGTGTTTTGAAGGGATTCGTCCCCTTAGTATGTGAGGGGAGAGGGGGGGGATGGGAGTGGGAGGGAGGGAGGATTAGGTGCAAGAATACTAGCCCCCATTAAGGCCTCTTCTGCCCCCCTTTAATGGGGCTTCCGGTTCCAAGAGCCCTTCTTAATTTTACCAATTAGAATTAATGTCTATTCGAAGCAGCTCTCCAAATCTGCTTCATATGCAGATGGTGTTGACTATATTTATCTAACTTTCCTCTAGGTGCTTCTAAATGCAGACTGTGTTTCCAGTACTTAAGACAATTACATAACTTTAATTCACAGTATATGCAGCCGGAGTATAGCTGGGAATATACCAGTATACCTAGAGTGGGTTCAGGGAGTTGTTCTACTTCCGCCCTGGGGCCAGGCTTGTTTTGTAATAACTTGATCCACGAGGCTGTTGCTTGGAGCGGTCCGCAGGCCCCACACAATGCAGCACCTATTCATATGAGCCCAAACTCATTCTTGTCTAACCAACGCTTCAAACAATCCAGCGATCCCACGTATATTAATGTTGCCTAGTGGGTGCCAGTTACTTGCCATGAAATCCTTACCTATTAAGGCTACCCCATTAGCGAAG